GCCTCTGGTAAATCACTGCATTCTCCCTCTGTTCCATAGTTCAAGGGATGATAGTGGCTTCCTGCTGTGCCTTACAATCACTGATTATGTTTAGCATAGTTAGAATCTTTTTATACCCAGTATCTTTAGCATATTTAATAGCATCATATACCCTTCTTTTGATTTTTGTGTGCTATGAAATAATCAGGCTAGGTTTATGTTGTTATGTGATTTTTTCCCCTTCTTAAACTATTTGATCTTCTCCCAGAATAAGGAAGTTAAAGTAGAAAGAGAGTAACCTTAAAGTGGTTTATTTTCTAAATTGGATCCCTCATTTCTATCTCAGTGATGATGCTACCTACCAAACATGTGAATTAGACCTTCAGCAAATGTTCATTTCAAACATTTGTCGAGTGTCTACTGTGTGATGAAGCACCCTAAAAGGATAGCTATGACAGGATCTCTATTTCCAAGTTGCTTTTAGGGGTTCAAGGTCTAAGATAGGGAAGGGGTTCTTACTGCTAGCACCTTCAGTGATGGAGCTTTATGGGGGAAAGTATTATAGATGCACATATAATATTAATACAAGCATATAATTCCCTTAAAGATGTCGTCTCATGACATGTAAACATAAAATTATATTGTGAATGTAGAGAAAGGAAGATGTTTGGTGTATTTGAAAGAACTCCAAATTCAACTAAGTGATTTTATATCACGGAGGAAGGTAGATATAATCCTCTTCGTCTCTTTTTAAAATAATATTATAACAGTCGATTTTAGAAAATTTAAAAGTTCTATATTTAATAATAATTTAGAACACCGTAAAGTTATCATATAGTTGTTTCTCATTTATCCTAACTTTTTCTTTAATTGCCAGTTTCTAACCCTGACTGAAATAAGTGATTAGACTGTACCTTTATAATTCTCACACCTCAGTTTAATGTCAAACCTCCAAGGTCTTTAGCTTCATTTCATTAATGTGTTAAGACTGTCCCCTGCCTGCCCATTTTAGGTTGCTACTTCTTTTAGTATTATAAAGGAGGTGATTGCCATGGAAAAGGAGATCCAGGATTTATGATTTAGTCTTAACTGCTGAAGAGTTTTAAAAAATATTATTATCTCCTGTTTACCAAATACTATTGCAACTCTTGATTGAAAGATATTGATAAATAAATGTCCCCTCTCCCAATGTTTTATTTTGAAAATTTTCAACTCTACAGAAGAAATGTAAAAATTGTATGGTAAACATCATATATCTTTCATCTAAGCTCACAATTGGCTAACATTTTTTTTTTTTTTAATGTCTGCTTTGAGATGGAGTCTTGCTCTGTCGCCCAGGCTGGAGTGCAGTGGCGTGATCTCAGCTCACTGCAACCTCTACCTCCCGGGTTCACACAGTTCTTCTGCTTCAGCCTCCCGAGTAGCTGGGACTACAGACATATGCCACCACGCCTGGGCTAAGTTTTTTGTATTTTAGTAGAGATGGGGTTTTACCGTGTTGACCATGGTGTCCAGGCTGGTCTTGAATGCCTGACCTCAAGTGATTCACCCCGCCTCGGCCGCCCAAAGTGCTGGGATTACAGGCGTGAGCCACCGTGCCCAATCCTCTTTATATATACAAATATCTATGTTTATTTCTTTTTGGTACCATCTGAAAGAAGTATATGTCATGATATTTCATTCCTGGGTACTTCTTGCTGAAGGATTTTTGTAAATGTTTTTCTTGTATATTCCCTTTAAACTAGAATGTTGAGGTGTTCATGATGAATGATGCCAGAGATGCACTGCTTGGAAAATCTCATTTTAGCATAAGACTTGCTCCAAATAGTTTCCCCCTCACTTTATATTAAATTTCTATTTTTTGATAAGTATTTTTTTATCACCCTCTATCACAACCACTATCGTAGTACTACTCCTTTCTGATACCTTTTTTTCCCACTTCTAAACAGTTGTAAAATATTGATAACATAAAATTTGCCATTAAAATAATTTTTAAGGCTGGCTGCAGTGGCTCACGCCTGTAATCCCAACACTTTGGGAGGCCGAGGCGGGCGGATCACCTGAAGTCAGGAGTTTGAGACCAGAGACCAGCCTGGCCAACATGGTGAAACCCTGTCTCTACTAAAAATACAAAAATTAGCTGGCCATGGTGGCACACGTCTGTAATCCCAGCTACTCAGGAGGCTGAGACAGGAGAATCACTTGAACCTGGGAGGTGGAGGTTGCAGTGATCCGAAATTGCTCCAGTGCACTCCAGCCTGGGTGACAGAGTGAGACTCTGTCTCAAAAAAAAAAAAAAAAAAAAAAAAAAAAAAATCAGGGGCGGGGCACAGTGGCTCACATCTGTAATCCCAGCACTTTGGGAGGCCGAGGTGGGTGGCTCACCTGAGGTTGGGAGTTTGAGGCCAGCCTGACCAACATGGAGAAACCCCACCTCTACTAATAATACAGAATTAGCCAGGCATGGTGGCACATGCCTGTAATCCCAGATGCTCAGGAGGCTGAGGCAGGAGAATCACTTGTACCTGGGAGGTGGAGGTTGTGATAAGCCAAGATCGCGCCATTGCACTCCAGCCTGGGCAACAAGAGTTTAACTCTGTCTCAAAAAAAAAATTGTTTTTAAAATACGCAGTTCATCAATATTCATTATATTCACAGTGTTGTGCAGCCATCACTACTGTATCTTTCCAAAACTTGTACCACTCCAAACAAGAAATCTGTAACATCTGAGCAATAAATCTTTATTCCTTCCTTCCCCTGGTCCTTGATAACCTGTAGTCTACTTTCTGTTTGTATACATATACCTATTCTACATATTCTATATAAGTGGAATTGTACAATATATAATGTTTTGTGTCTGGCTTATTTCACTTACCATAACGTTTTCAAGGTTCATCTGTGTTAGAGCATGTATCAGAATGTCATTCCTTCTTCTGGCTGAATAATATTCCATTGTGTTTACATATATACCACATTTTGTTTATCCGTTTATCTGTTGATGGACACTTGAGTTGTTTCTACCTTTTGACTGTTGCGAATAAACCTGAAATGAACATTGGTGTATAAGTATCCCTCTGAGCTCTGAGTCCTTGCTTTTGATTTTTTTTTTTTTGGGGTATATACCTAGGAGTGGAATTCCTGGGTCATATGGCAATTTTATGTTTAAGTTTTTGAGGAACTGACAAACTATTTTCTACAGCAGCTGCACCATTTTATATTCCCACCACTAATGTGTGAGGGTTTCAGTTTCTCTGCATCCTTGCCAGCACTTATTTTTCATTTCTTTGGTGACAGCTATCCTAGTAAGTGTGAAATGGCATCTCATTGAGTTTGGGTTTGTATTTCCGTAGTGGCCAGTGATATTGAACATCTTTTCATATACTTATTGGCCATTTGCATATCTTCTTTTGAGAGTGTCTATTCAAGTTCTTTGCCCATTTTAAAACTTGATTGATCTTTTTGTTCATGAATTGTAAGAGATCTTTATATATTCTGGATAGTAGATCTTTATCATGTATATGGTTTGCAAATGTTTTTTCCCCTTCTATATGTTGTCTTTTCATTTTCTTGATTAATGTCCTATTATGCACAAAAGTTTTAAATGTCGATGAAGTTCAATTTATTTTCTCTTTTGTTGCTTGTGGTTTTCTGATAGAACCATCAGCACATTTATCAGTTGTTAGATGATTTCTCTCCTGGTGATCCTGGATTAGGGCATGGGCTGATTTTTTGGTACACGATCAACAAAAATAACAGTATTCGTTGTCACTAACTGAGTACCTAATACATGCTAGATGATTTTGGGAAACCTGAGAAAGAGAATTCTAAGGCAGAAAAGCCTCATAATTTTATTCTTGCCAAGTAAAGTTTACTAAAACTCCATAACATTACAAAGAGGTTAGAAGATACAGTCTTCCCCACCTTTTTTCTGTGGGAAATTTAAGTCAGAACTACTGCTAGTGTCCTACTGCACTGAACAGGTTCCTGGCATTTGCGCTGGACCCTAGGCTCCCCCACAACTCCACCCCTGTAGAGGTTCTCTATTTCTGTATTTCATGGACTCTCTTACTTAGCTAGCTTTTTACTTTACCGGCTTAGTCTGTATTATTTTTTATTTTTATATTTTCGAGATGGAGTCTCGCTCTGTCGCCCAGGCTGGAGTGCAGTGGCGCAGTCTTGGCTCGCTGCAAGCTCTGCCTCCCGGGTTCAAGGGATTCTCCTGCCTCAGCCTCCACAGGTAGCTGGGACCACAGGCGCATGCGACCACGCCTGGCTAATTTTTTATATTTTTAGTAGAGACGGGGTTTCACCATGTTAGCCAGGATGGTCTCGATCTCTTGACCTCGTGATCCGCCCGCCTCGGCCTCCCAAAATGCTGGGATTACATGTCTGTGGTATTTTTTACAAACTGCTTAAGAAACTCAAGATAAATGAATTACTCACAGCAGGACTAATATTTTGAACCAGACTTTGAAATCTATTATATCGCATTGGAAAAGTGAGAGTTTCCCCCACATTTACAACTCCAAAATTCCTTTTGGAAACTCTTTGTAAATGATGCTGTTGATTTAAAAATTAGGGCAGGATCAGTGGCTCACACCTGTAATCCTAGCACTTTGGGAGTCTGAGGAGTGCGGATCACCTGAGGTCAGGAGTTCAAGAGCAGCCTGGCCAACATGGTAAAACCCCATCTCCACTAAAAATACAAAACTTAGCTAGGCATGGTGGCGGGAGCCTGTAATCCCAGCTACTCAGGAGGCTGAGGCAGGAGAATCACTGGAACCAAGGAGGTGCAGGCTGCAGTGAGCTGAGATCATGCCACTGCACTCCAGCCTGGGCGACAGAGGGAAACTGTCTTAAAAAAAATATATAGGCTTTTCCTATTTGTAGTATGAGTGCATTCTCTCTAGTACATTTTCTCTAGATGACCCAGTAGTTGTCCACCTCTTTCCTTCAAACTATAAAAACACAAAAATTAAGAGCTCTATTAATGTTTATTTTATTCTGATTTTTTCCCCTAGCGGATCTGAAAAGAACAATTGCTGTCCTTCTGGATGACATTTTGCAACGATTGGTGAAGCTGGAGAACAAAGTTGACTATATTGTTGTGAATGGCTCAGCAACCAACACCACCAATGGTACTAGTGGGAATTTGGTGCCAGTGACCACAAATAAAAGAACGAATGTCTCAGGCAGTATCAGATAGCAGTTGAAAATCACCTTGTGCTGCTCCATCCACTGTGGATTTTATCCTATGGCAGAAAAGCTTTATAATCGCTGGCTAGGACAGAGTAATACTTTACAATAAAAGCTCTACACATTTTCAAGGAGTATGCTGGATTCATGGAACTCTAATTCTGTACATAAAAATTTTAAAGTTATTTGTTTGCTTTCAGGCAAGTCTGTTCAATGCTGTACTATGTCCTTAAAGGGAATTTGGTAATTTGGTTGATGTGATAAGCAGGTAGGTGAGTTTTGTATAAATCTTTTGTGTTTGAGATCAAGCTGAAATGAAAACTCTAAAAAACATGGATTCATTTCTATAACATATTTATTTAAGTATATAACATGTTTTTTGGGCAAGTGGAGAATATTTAATCATTCTGTCATTTGTTCTCAATTGATGTAACTGTTAGACTAAGGCTATTTGAAAATGTGCTTATTTCTAGTACTATATTTTGTTATTCCAATTATGAGCAGAGAAAGGAAATATAATGTTGGAAGTAATGTTTTGAAATCATGACCCAAAGAATGTATTCATTTGCACTATCCTTCAGAATAACCGAAGGTTAATTATTGTTTATTTTTAAAAATTACACTTATAAGAGTATAATCTTGAAATGGATAGCAGCCACTGTCCATTACCTATCATAAACATTGGGGCAATTTAATAACAGCATTAAAATAGTTGTAAACTCTAATCTCATACTTAAATTTTTCTTATATTCTTGAAGAATGAAAGATATTTTTATGATGAGAGTAACAATAACTAAATTATTCATGATTTTTCACATACATGAATGTTCTTTTAAAAGTTTAACCCTTTGAGTGATGCTATCAGGAAAGCACATTATTTCCATATTTGGGTTAATTTTGCTTTTGTCCAGGAGGAAGGGACTTGGGAGATGAACTCTTGAGGACGTTAGCCAGATGTATATAATAAAGGTACTTTTGTGCTGCATTAAATTGCTTGGAAAATGTTAACATTATATTATATAAGAGTATCCTTTATGAAATTTTGAATTTGTATAACAGATACATTAGATATTCATTTTATATATGGCCACTTAATTAAGAACATTTAAAGTATAAACTATGAAGATTGACTATCTTTTCAGGAAAAAAGCTGTATATAGTACAGGGAACCCTAATCTTGGGTAATTCTGGTATAAAACAAATTATACTTTTATTTAAATTTCCCTTGTAGCAAATCTAATTGCCACATGGTGCCCTATATTTCATAGTATTTATTCTCTATAATAACTGCTTAAGTGCAGCTAGCTTCTAGATGTAGACTGTATAGAATTTAGTTTAGATATTGTATTGTTCATTATTATAATATGCTACCACATGTAGTAGCAATAATTATAATATTTTATTAAAATAAATATGTGAAATATTGTTTCATGAAAGACAGATTTCCAAATCTCTGTTCTCTTCTGTGTACTCTCTACCTTTATGTGAAGAAATTAATTATATGCCATTGCCAGGTAGAAGTTTGGAATAATTGTTTAGTCTCTCCTATTAGATGTGGACATTTTTGTTTTTGTTTTTGTTTTTTTCAGGGATGAAATAAAATATATTATTTCTACCTACAAAGTATTACAGGCTTTTTTTCTTTAATGTTGGTTGTGCATTTAATAAATGATAAATAGTTAAAAGGAATCTTAAGAAAATTTTGGTTTTGTTTCAATTCCAGATAACTTTTTCAAAAGAGAAAAACTGAAGGTTACCCAATAGTGCCTCTCATTTGGTACCTAGGGTAGGAGAGTCTGAGTGCAGAGATAGATTGGAGAACTAAGGCTTGACTTCTTAAAAATCAACAGTAAACTGATAATCTGAAATGGGTAGCAGCCACATTTAAAAATCAACAGTAGACTGTTGGTTTTTAAGAAGTCAAGCCTTAGTATTTATATTTTCAGTGAATCTTAATTTGGACATTAGCACAGAGGGCATCACTAAAGGTACTAAAAACTTGCAAACTTGTATCAGGGTGTCTTTGGGTTTACTTTAAGCAAATATATGAATTAAAAAGTAATTTAAACATTATTTCAGGTAGTTAATGATAGATAACTTAGGTCTCATTAGTTTTCAAGAAACACGTATGATTTTGACTCTGGAGTTACATAGACTGCAGAGACTCAAGTCTGCTTTTTTATTGACCATATTACTTAGTTTGAATTTACAGAAATCTGTCTCATGTCATTTAGTTATGCCTTGGAAGCCCAAAGTGTTAGCAGCTTACATAGGAGCCTCTCACACACAGTTTTGGTTTAAATGTAAACAATATTCTGTTTTTAACCAAACACTTTGAGCTGAGTAGCTATTAATGTAGTTACCATTTTTTCCCCTTTCTCTTATAGAAGTACCTACCTGAAAAGGGAGCATGATGTAATGAAACAGACCAAAAAATATATAGTTAATTGAAACCATTTTTCTCCCATAATTGAAAGCCCTGAATGATTCTTAAGAACTTTTGTTTAGGGAACTGGTATTGCTCATGTAGTCTCAGCTACTCAGGGGCTGAGGGAGGAGGACTGCTTGAGCCTGGAGGCTGCAGTGAGCCATGATTGCACTACCGCACTCCAGCCTGGGCGACAGAGCAAGATCCTGTCTCAAAACAGTAACAACAACAACAAACCAGGCGAAACAATGAGAATATAGAGAAGCACAATGGGAAAAAGTCTGAAATCTTTCTACCTAGGGATAACTACTGTTGATATTTTAGTAGATAAATGTGAATCTGATCTCCCCTCCCCACACTCTCTAGTGACTTCCCATTTCTACTTAAAATCTAAAGTTCCCACTGTGGACTTCAAAGCCCTAATGTGCCCCTGGATGCCTCCTGACCTCATTTCTTACCACCCTCCTCCTTCCCAATTCCTGTTCAGTCATACTGACTTGTCCTTCCTAGGATATACCAAGCATGCTTTTGCCTCAGTAACTTCAAACATGTTATTCCTCTACCTGCCACCACTCTCACCCACAGATAACGTCATGGTTCCCTCCCAAACAGCACTCAGGTGTACATTTAAATGTTACTTCTTAAGGGAAGTCATCTTTGACCACCTTCCTAAAATACTAGGCCTCAGCACGCTTAGCCATTTTACTTTTCTTTGTAGTTCTGATATACTCAACTTTAAATGGTATATTAACTTATTTTGTTTTCTCTCATGTTTCTTAGAATATGAACTCCATGGAGGCAAGGACTTCATCATGTTCATTTATGTAACCTGGGCATTTACAACTGTGTCTAGCTCATAATAGGTACCCAATTAATATTTGTTAAGATAATGAGTTACTAAACCCATTCTATACTTTTTTTGCTTTGTGCATATATACATATGTTTTAAAAATAATATACTTTTTTTTGTACAATGTAGGATGAATATCTTTCTAAGTCAGCAAGTAAATAACTTTAATAGTTACTCCATTGTGTGGCTATATCACATTGGTGTATCTTTCACTTAATTATTAAGCATTTTGGTTGCAGAGAAAAGATTTAGCCTGAGGTGTGAGACAAGTCTAAAGAGAAGTGGGAAGTCTATAATAGATTGTGGGGAGGGGAAATTAGACTCACATTCACATTCTTTTTATTGCTTCATGCTGTTACTGTTATTTTAGATGTTGGAGGTAACATAACAAAATATGATTAATACCCATATGGGGGAGACAAAATGGTGAAATATCTCCATTTGTATCAATATATAAGGACATAGAAAACCCAAAATAGGTGTTCATCCGCAGACTTTGTTTTATATCAAGAGCAGCAGGCTAGAAGCATTTTGCAGCATAGGGAGAAGACTGGGAATAAAATGTACAATGGCTAATTCATAATTTTGTTTGAGAGTGGGGAGGAGATTGAGTAGTGGTCAGATTTTTGCTTGAATCAGATTGAGTTTGTTGCTTTTGGCTTAAATGAATCAATAATATTAGTGTGCATTTAAGTAAGGAAGTTAGGACATGAAGATTTAAAAAAAATTATTGTTCTTCAGATGTTACCAGTATCAGTATGTTTCACATATCTTTTCAGATGAGTTTCGGACCTCCGTCGAGTCCTTCGTAGGGCAAGTGTAACTTCACACTGCTTTTAAGTGTTGGTTAGCAGCAGCATCTATTTGAATAAATCACTGTTTTTAACTTAATCTTCTTTGGTGCTTAATTCATCTACCACCCACCCACCCTTTCTTTACTAATTATTCAGGCAAAGAAATAAACTTTCTGAGGAGTCTATGGAGGGGAGAGGGTGATAGTTGATGTGATATCAAGGCTTGGGGAGAGGAAACATTTTTGTGATTGTTTCTATGCAAAAGGGCATTTATTTTAATATAGAAAATATTATTTTGAAGTTGTTTTAAAATACCTTATATTTTTAGAATGGAGGTTGGGAAAATTTGGTTCTTCCATCGATTTAATGGTATGACTGTGGGCAAGTATGTATGTGCTTTCTTTTCTTTGTTTTTTTTTTTTTTTTTTTTTTTTCTGAGATAGGTTCTTGCTCAATTGCCCAGGCTACAGTACAGTGGCACAATTGGCTCACTGCAGCCTGGACTTCCTGGGCTCAAGCAGTCCTCCCACCTCAGCCCCCAGAGTAGTTGGGACTACAGGCATGGGTCACCATGGCCAGATATTTAATAATTTTTTATGTTTTTTTCTTTTTTCTTTTTGAGAGGGAGTCTTGCTCCGTCGCCCAGGTTAGAGTGCAGTGGTGCAATCTCGGCTCACTGCAACCTCTGCCTCCCGGGTTCAAACAATTCTCCTGCCTCAGCCTCCCAAGTAGCTGGGATTACAGGCACATGCCACGATACCTGGCTAAGTTTTTGTATTTTTAGAGACAGGGTTTCACCTTGTTAGCCACGATGGTCTGGATCCCCTGACCTTGTGATCCGCCCGCCTCAGCCTCCCAAAGTGTTGGGATTACAGGCGTCAGCCACTGTACACGGCCTTTTTTTTTTTTTTTTTTTTTTTTGAGATGGAGTCTTGCTCTGTCGCCCAGGCTGGACTGCAGTGGCGCAATCTCTGCTCACTGCAAGCTCCGCCTCCCGGGTTCACACCATTCTCCTGCCTCAGCCTCCCGGGTAGCTGGGACTACAGATGCCCACCACCATGCCTGGCGAATTTCTTGTATTTTTAGTAGAGATGGGGTTTCACCGCATTAGCCAGGATGGTCTGGATCTCCTGACCTCGTGATCCGCCCGCCTCGGCCTCCCAAAATGCTGGGATTGCAGGCATGAGCCATGGCGCCTCCCAATTTTTCATGTTTTGTAGAAATGGGGTCTTGCTATTTTGCTCAGGCTGGCTTCGAGCTCCCGGGCTCAAGCAATCCTCTCCCCTCCCACCTCTGCTTCCCAAAGTGTTGGGATTACAGATGTGAACCACCACACCTAACCATGTATGTGCTTTCTGATTTGGTGTCTCCAGCTCCAAATCATTGATAATGTCTATCCTATGTGACTACATGGAATTTTGGTAACATAAGCATATGTGTTTAAAACCCTTTCAATTCCTTTTTTTTTTTTTTTTTTTTTGAGAGGGAGTCTGGCTCTGTCGCCCAGGCTGAAGTGCAGTGGCTGGATCTCAGCTCACAGCAAGCTCTGCCTCTCAGGTTCACGCCATTCTCCTGCCTCAGCCTCCGGAGTAGCTGGGACTACAGGTGCCCGCCACCTCGCCCGGCTAATTTTTTGCATTTTTTGGTAGAGACGGGGTTTCACCGTGTTAGCCAGGATGGTCTCGATCTCCTGACCTCATGATCCGCCCGT